TACACTGTCACCATAGCTATGGACTCCAGGAAAGAATGAGTCTCAGATGACCAGTGCATGGGCAGCTTTATTAAGCAAACAGGAAAAATTTAATATACTTAATAACAACAGTACAAAGCATGCAGATATTATATTAATTCTATTACCCCAATTTTCTTCCTTTGAGTTCTTTGGTAAGTCGTATATCTTTTTTCAATAACTTTGTAGGGTAACAATTCTAGAGTGGAGCTGGATAAAGATAGGTCTTTGGGCCAGTGTTGAAATACAAAGAAAGAGACTTCAAATTTTTTATGAATAAATTTCAGTAAAGAAAGAGCATCAAGTTTGCATGTGATTTTGAATTAAGACAAAGTTCTACTTCCCACCATAGACATTAAGATTTGGTCAGACTAACTTTATTTTGAAAGTCATATGTAGTACTTATTCTTTAGGTTCCTTGTAAAAGAAGCAGAAGCCCAACGATAGAATGTGTGAGAGTCTCCTAAAATAGATCAGATGATATCAAGCCTTATTGCCTCTCCGTCACCACTGCCACACAAAAGCAGCAGAGGAGCATCTTGCTGTTATCTTACCTGTCCTTCTGTACCTCCAAGTTCAAATGTCTGATCTTCTCCCAACTCCACCACAATACGGACAACTAATCCTGCTGTCTTTCCATAGAAACTGGACTTACAGAAATTAGTATCTTCTTGTCAGACTCTTAAAATATGTTTAATTTTAATGCTTCATGTCCTCAGCACCAGAGGCTTTCCTTTATATTTGTCTTTCCAGGCAGCCTGCTCATGAAAAGTGGGGATATTATGTGCACCCAGTGCGTTGGCATCCGTGATTTCCTCAGGTGCATGGCCTCCTTTGGAGCAGGAGAAGCAGTGTGACTCATGCCTGTGAGGTACCACTGAATTAGCACTGGGATGCTTATGTCTCTGTTCTCACTATCACCTCTAGGTACTTATACTTGGGTAAGTCATGCTTTCCCTTGCCTTATCTGAGGTTGGATAGGGTCCGCTTCTAGCCTCTGGACAATGCTGTCCTGAGATGTGATGGCTGTGGAAGGGCTCTGGCAACAACAGAACAAAGGTAGCCCCAAGATATAAGAAGGGGTCTGAATGTCTTTATTTGTTCTCAGACATTCCTTCTTCCCAGGTTTTTTATGTTGCTTTGGGCCTTTTCCAGAAGGCTGACCTTTGGAGGATGTGCCAGTGGGCTGCCCCACTCTCAGCTTCTTGTTGGGTTTGGCAATGGAGGTAAAGGATGGAAGGCAGTGAGGTCTGGGTATTTTTTTCCTTGGCTCTTTCTCTCCCTGTGTGGTCATGGTGTTCTGGCTCCACCACAAGGGTCTCACCTGGTGTTGGCTCCACCCTGCTTTGTCTCTAAATTCTGCTGTCCTAGTCTAGGCAGGGAGCAATTTTCTGCTATTGCTAGCTCTGAGGTAATACACCAACTCTTGTTTTCCCTACAACTGTCCTGTACCTGTGCAGAGTCCCTGAATTAAGCATTTTTCCTTTACCTTTCTGTCCCTTGCTGGAAGACTACCCAACAGAAGGGGTTTTTCTTGAAAAAGTGGTGTTTGTAGAAGGATCCTGAAGAACTTTACCTGTGACCTCCAGAACCAGGCACTAATCAATGCAATAGATGCCCATAAATTGCATCTATTGGGAATGGGATGGGAAGTTTGGATGTGTGTTGTTTTGTTCTTGCATTCTGAGATGTTGCCAGGGTCACCAGTCCTTGCCCTGGGGACCACTGAAGCACAGCTCCGGCTTTTACTTGAAGCTTGAGAGAGGAGAGAGAAATAAGTCCTTTCCATTAGCACTACTGGCATGGAAGCAGGCTCCTCAGTTAGCAGCTGAGAACAGATGATTTGGAAGTGTCACCCTGTCTCTTGTGCCTCAGTTTCCTGGCACTAGTGATCCATGTCCATCTTGGCATCAGGCACCAGCAAGGAGGGATGCCCTGGAGCTTCAAGCCTGGTGCCTCCCTTCTACAGTTTTCTTTGGCTTCCCTGTCCCCCTGCAAAGCAGAGCTCCATTAGCAAGTGAAATTCATAGTTTCAAACAAACAAACAAATGAGCCCTAAACTCTGTCAAGTTATCTGGTGGGAATAACAATGAAATCTCAGTGTCCTGTGCCTGCTTCTGGCCTCCTTTCTGGTCCTTCAGTAGTCCTTTCATGGCTGAAGTAGGATTCATTTTCTTGCCACTTCCTGGTGGGTCACCATCTCCAAAGCCATTATGTTCTTCTAACTAGTGATGCTGCTTGGTCAGATGTAGTTAGGTGACAGAGAACTGAGTTCTGAGTTGTCCCTTGTTTACTGTTGATTTAGGTGAATTGGCCACTGTTTGGAACTTGATCAAGTCCTTTCCTTGTATTCTTTCTCAGTCACAGGTTCCCTGAAGAAAATCTTCATCTCTATTTGCCTTTTCTTGGCCAGATTGTTAGAAAAAACTCAGGGTCTGTCTCACATTGAAAAAAAAAAGTGTTCAAACTCACTATCTCTGCCCAGACCAGTGAAGCTCACTTGATCAAATTTGGGTTGCACAGGAGCAGCAGAGGCAACGAGAGCTCTGTTCTCTGGCAAAGAAATAGTAAACAGCAAAACAGTATTTCAGAGGGCAAACTGTTTGCCTCACTAATAAAGCATGGCTTATGATGGAAAATAACTTGAAGAAAGTAGGGAGCAAATGGATGGAGTTGCTATGGGAACGCAGTTGAAAAAAACATGAAATATGTAAATACTGTAATTTGGTATTTTAATGCACTTCTTTTCCATGAAGAAAATTCCCTGACAACTAAAACTAACAACTTGTTCCTCTGCTACACACAGCCCTGATTGACAGAGGCTGGGCGAGTAGGTTTCTGAATTCAATTTCCCCTGTAGGAGCAAATACATCTTTATTCTCAGGCATAAAAATCAAACATCTGGAGTAGAGGCTGTCGGTTCTGGCTGCACATTAGAACTACTCAGGGAATTTTTGGAAATTCAGCCACATCCCAGGTCAATTAAGTCAGATTCTCTGAGTGTGAGGTTTGGGCTTTGGCACTTTTGAAAAGGTCCCTTGTCCTTGTCTTGGGCAGTCACTGGCCCAATACTGATTTGATAGGCTTGGTGAATATAGATTATGTATTTTACCACACATAGTTCCTGCATTTTATTCACAGAATTTTGATGATTTTGACATTTTAATACCAAGAATGGGAAATGATTAGCAATCATTTTTCCATTATTAGTGTCATTACCTTCACCATAATAGTGCCTCTCTTATGTGGAGAAAACCTGTGCTACCATATCACAATCATTACCATTTAGCCATCAAAATAAAGATGATTAATTGCTATTATCTTTAAAGTTATAGATTGATGGTCATATTTTGGGAAGTTTAGATGTTGTTTTAAATGTTGATATTAGCTATATTTTGATAATTACCATCATTAATTACCATTAGTTATGTGGTAAGTCAATATTAAGCATTTATAGATAATTATTTTACTTGCTTAATAGTGGTCTATATTAGAGTTGGTAAGTGACATCATTTCTGTTTTCCTAATTAGATAGATATTTCACACAAGCATCAAGAAACTTGTGTTAGCTTGTATGTTGAAATCATGTTGTACATGAATGCAGAACTCCAGAACTGTGATTTTTTTTCTTACTGTCTAGCTTTTCTTTACCTTTCTTTTCCTTTCTCTTTCTCCCTCCCTCTTTCTTTCTTTCTTTCTTTCTTTCTTTCTTTCTTTCTTTCTTTCTTAGTACTAGGGATTGAACTCATGACCTTGCACCTGATAGGCAGACGCTGTGCCATTGAGCTATGTCCCCAGCCCAAGCTCCTGTTTCTTTAGCTCTGTCCAGTGTGATGAACTCTCAGTCTTTCTGTAGCATCACTCCAGGAACAAAACTATAAGTTTACTGATATCTAAAGAGAATTTGAATGGACAAAGAAGAAGGGTTGATGAAAAATTTCAATATTTTAGAAAGTAAGAGTAATTTGTGAAACTTCCATTTATTTGTCTAGCCCAGATTCAGGTAGTGGGGGCCCTTTAAGATATTACTGGAAATTCCAACTTATGGAAGGTTTACTTTCTTCTGAAATATTCCTATTCTTCTTGCCTTTAATATCACTGGTGTTATGTGGAACCTTTGGAAGTTATCCCCTGGGATCCCGCTTGTTGGTTCCCTATGATGGCATGGCATGACTTCTCTATTCTCTCCCCTGTGGCTTTTGAGATGATCTCCTCCAATTCCCTGGAACAGGTTAGATTCCCTATTGCCTGCTTCTACAGTGCCTTTCTTGTTTTCTTTGCAGCTCCTAGTTGGTTCAAAATTATATACTTTATGTGAATCTTTCTGCAAATGCAGATAGCTCTAATGAGTCAGGACATAATATTAAACCTGAATTATTTTGGTACAGTCACTGGTATATATTAGATAATGATATTGGGACTAATTTTTTTCTCTGCTCTTCCTATTATTTAAGCTAGCCCATTTTAGATCCTCAGCAACACTATTTAAATAAACTTGAATATAGAAAATTTCAAATATATATATACCTAAAACTAAGGATTGTGTAAAGAACCCTTATATATCTGTTACTTAGTTTTAACAATGATGATATTTTGCCTATCTTGCTTTAAAATTTTTCTATTAAGAAAGTTAATTTTTGGACTTTTGATTTCTTCTCTGAAACCTATTTAGATTGGGAATTATAATTCTCATTCCTGTAAGGAGAAAAACCTTAAAAAACCTGCAAATCAGTATCTTCTCATAGATTCATCAAGGAAATAAACTTATAGGTCAAATTACTGTTCTAAAATCTGGAGTGATGAATCAATCCAAAGGGCCAGGGCTATGACATGCCTAATCAAAATGGAAGCTACTTGTTTTTTCTCTGAGTAATAATTGTGACAAACTGCTAAAGGCATGGTGTGGGCTAGCCTGAGAGTGAGGAACACCTGGGCTATAGTCTTGTGCATTCTTATAGGATCTTTTGTGATTTTTTCTCCTAGGAAATCCACCAAATTCTCAAGATGAAGAGCCAGGAATCCTTCATGGCCTTGTAGGTACCAGGGAATGCTATAGTGTATGCCAAGCAATCTTCCTAACAAGGGCCTACTGTCCAGGGAAGATCACTCGCACAGCCTCACCTTATCAGGGAAAGGGCATTTCTCCCACTCTACCTCTCGTAGGTCACTTTCTCACAAAGGGACAGAGAGGGAAGCTATATCACTGGAGAACCACTGGTGAAGGTCACAGCTAAAGACAATGGACCACTAAAATATTGAGATTTAGTCATGATTACCTCCCTTTCTTCATTATTTTGCCATCACACCCATAGGATCCCACTATGATAGCAACAGATTATAGCTGAAAAAGCTTCTAGATCTACCTGCTCTTCAAGGAGGAACTTAAGGAAGCCCAACTCTAGAGGACAGACAGAAAATAAAAACAAAAATCCAACAACAGCAACAGAAACAACATTGGGAAAATTTAAAGCCGTAGGCTCCTGCATCTGTAGAAAACATTAAACATCCCAACTCCCAGACATACTAGCATAAGTCCTCCCACAAAAGGCATATTGCTGGTATAACAGGTACAGCTTTAAATAAAAAATTACAAGACTTGCCAAAGAATAAAGTAATGTGAAGAGATAAAGCAAGAATAAAGACTAGACTCAGATATCATACAGATGTTAGCATTCAGTTAATGGATTAAAAGAATGATTGATGGCTTGAGTGCTCTAATGAAAAAAGTGGATCACATACAAGAACATGAGTGGTATCAGAAGAGATGTGGAAATTCTAAACAAAGAATCAAAGGAGATGCTAGAAACCAAAAACATCGCAAGAGAGATGAAGAAAGCTTTTGATGCATTTATCTAGAGTGTGGACATGACCAAGGAAAGAATCACTGACAATAGATCAATGGAAGCTTTCCAACTGAAATGCAAAGTGAATAAAGTGGGATCTTTGCCACCTAGAAAAACCCAAACTGATTACTGGAGGCCTGCAAGCATAATTTCAAAACGGGTAGCCATGCATCCTTGGGATATCAGAAGGAGAACAAAGAAAAAATAGAACGGAAAAAGTAATAATGGATAAGAATTTTCCAAAATTAATGACAAATACCAAAAAACAGATATAAGAAACTCAGTAGTAGCAAGCAAGATAAGTGTCAGCTTGACATATCATCTTAAATGGCAGAACATCTATAATCTCAGCTATTTGGGAAGCCAAGTCAGGAGGTCTAAAAGTTTGAACCTGACCCTGTTTTAAGATAAAAAAAATTTTAAAAAACGTGTAATTCAGTTCAAAGACCTTGAGTTCAACTCTCATTAAAAGAAAAAAAGGAAAAGTAATGTGCTATCAACTCACAAAATGTCATACATGAATCTTAAATGCATTATTGTTATAAAGAGGCCAGTCTGAAAGGTTATATATTAGATTCACTCTCTTACCTTCCTTTAACTATAACTTACTGTTACCATATGTGAGTTCCATATTGATGTTATAGCCCCTTAAATTACTAGCTATTCAATATTGTAGCTCTTTAAGTTACTAGCTATTCTATATAGTCCATTTTGTTTAAGTTTACCCTCATGTTTACCATTTCATTGTTCACTGTTTCTACATTTCAAACCTACTTTTTAGATCACTTTCTTTTGGTACCTGTCTTAGTTACTTTTATGTTGCCGAGACACAATATCTGACACCTACAGCCTAAAGAAGGAGCAGTTTATTTTGGCTCATGCTTAACTTGATACATGTTTGACTTGCTCCAAAGCAGAAATGGTGTGGTAGAGGGGTCTGATAGAAAAAGCTGCTCATGTCATGGTGACCAGGAAGCAGAGAGAGATGGTAGGAGCCAGGGAGGAAGATACACCTTTTCAGGTCATGCTCCCATGCCTCTTCCAATCAGAATTCACTTGCTAACAACACATTGAGCTCTGAATTCTTCAGTGGGTTAATCCATTGGGGACAATACTGCCTGTTATGATCTAATCACCTTTCAAAAGCCTAACATCTTGAACACATGATGTTTTGGGGGGACATTTTAGATCTAACGTAACAGTATCATCAATTCAAAATATTTATCTATTTGTTTTTTGAGACAGGGTCTCCTTAGGTTGTATGGACTAAGATTGTACTTGTGATCCCCCTGCCTCATCTTCTCAGAATGTTGGAATTAGAATTACATGTTACTAACACCTAACTTTAAATACCATCTTTAGAAAAATTCTCAGAGTTTCTACATGTAACATATTCTCTTTAGTTTTGCCTTATTGGAAAATATCTTTATTTCACCACTATTATTTAAAGTAAATTTTCTTTGAGAGAGAATTCTAAGTTGACATTTGTTTTCTTTTGGTACGTTGATATATCAGTCATTTTACTGGCTTCTGAGAAATCAGTTGCCACTTAGAAATCAGCTAAGAGTCTGATGTATGTTAAGTATTGGTAATTTGGTTTTTTTCTTCTTTTAATTGGCTTAAATAACTCTTTGTTTTTGATGTTCTACAGTTTTGTGATAAGCACTTGATAGATCTCTCCTTTCTTACCTTTGTTGAATCAGTGGATTCCTCTGAAAAATTCTCAGTTGCTTTAATTCTACCTTATTTTTTGTTATCTCTTTATAGATTTCAGATTGGATATAAGGTGGACCTTTTGTATCTGTATCTCCTAACATCTTTTGCAAGTTTTTCTCTGCACTGTACTTTTCTGCTACATTTAATGCATTTCAAGATTTATTTATTAAAAAAATTAAAAGAAAGGAGATTAAGATAAAAGAGGACATAACAACATAATAACACAAGTCAGAACAGAACAATTTAAACAACATAAGTTTCACCACAAAATAACCTGACATAACAGTATCTACCATAGTGTCTCTTTCCTTGAAATATTTGAGTATAATTTTGTATATTATAGCATCAAGCACAATATGATAGTGTAAAACCATTCAAGAGAATGAAAGTATTACAAGGTATTTAGAACCAACTAACAGAAAATGAACAATGTTTTCTATATTATCTCCTTGTTTATAAAAATTTTTGTTTATACTATCACATATAATAAAATCCAATAAGATATAACATGATAAACTGATGGAGACAGAAGAACAAAAGCTTCATGGGACTTCAAAATAAGATGATATTATATCAGCACTAGCTATTTGTTGTAGTCAGGGGTTGTACACAGAGAACAATTCAGGTCAGGACATGGAGTTTATAATATTTTTATAATGGTCACTGAAAGTTAACACAGGAAAATACAGGAAATCTATCTGCAACACCAACGACATAGATTATTTAAGTCAAGAGCCTAAACCCACGGCAATGTCCCACATGAGTCCAGATAAAAACCCAGAGCTCAGGACAATGCCTCCATGAGTCCAACTGGAAGTCCAGGGCCCACAAGGACTCACGCCAGTCTCTTTTACGGATTCATGCCGGGAAGACCCAAGGGTCAGCGGTGGAAGCCAGAAAGTCCATGCCAGCAGGATGAAGGAGCTGTGCTAGTGGGATGAGGGCTCTACACTGGAGCCGAGAAGTCACACTCACAACAAAGAGCGGGGCTGTCCTGAAAGGAACCACAGCTGTCCTCAGCGACACGGAGGCCCCGAGCTCCTCCGACGACAAGCACAGTCGGGAACGTGCCAGGAAGCAGCGTGAGGAGTTCATCCTGGAGACCAGGCAGCACATGTCTTCCCCTCCAGAGCCAGGAAGCAATGCTCGATGTGAAGACCAAAGCTTCTCCAGGAGAACCAATAGCTCAGACAGCAACTTGTAGGAGAACTAACAATGCCTCCATAACGCCTCAATCCCTCTCATACCTCTCTTCTTCTCCACCTATTTATCCTGGCAACCCTCCTCAGGTGGAGCATCTTCTCTCAATACATGCTGATGTAATCCAGCTGGCGTTAAGTTGACCACTAGTTATCGAACCATAACACTATTATATTGTCTTGTTTTCTTCAAAATAACTATTCATACCATCACAGACAATAAAATGAAACAACCAAGAATAGGACCATTCCAATTAATGAAAACATTATAAGCCTTCAAAGCAATATAATAGGGAATCATGTTTACCACATATTTTTATGTATTCTCACCATTTGTTACACTAGAGAAAGTATTCGGTATTTATACATGTGACTTTGATTTATTTTGCTTATGAGTATGGTCTCAAGCTGAGCCCATTTATTTATAAATATCTCAATGTGATCATTCTTTATAGCTGAGTAGTACTCCATTGTATAAAAATACCACAACTTTTTTATCCATTCCTCAGTTGATGGACACTTACGTTGTTTCCAAGATCTGGCTGTTACAAATTATGCTGCTATAAAGATTGGTGCACATATATCACCATGGCATGATGTTTTCAATTTTTCTGGAAGTATGCCTAAAAGTGGAATGGCTGGAACAAATGGAACTTCCAATCCCAGCTTTTTGAGAAATCTCCAGACTGACCTCCACAAAGGTTGTACCAGTCTACACTCCCAACAGTGTAGGAGAGTTCCTTTTTCCCCACAGCCTCCCTAGCATTTGTTGTTGGTAGTTTTCTTGATCCTGGCCATTCTTTCAGGAGTGAGATAGAATCTCAATGTGGTTTTAATTTACATTTCTCTAAAGAGTAACGATGAACATTTTTTCATGCATTTATTTGCTGTTTGTATTTCTTCATCTGTGTATTCATCTCAGATGCCCATTTTTGGAACTGAAGTGTGTATTCATCTCAGATGCCCATTTTTGGATTGGATCTTTGAATTTTGGGGGTCTGGTTTTTTTTAATTCTTTATGTTTTAGACAGAAGTCCTTTGTCTGAGGGACAGTTCATTAGTTTTTCCCAGTTTGTGGGTTTTCTTTTCTCTATGCTGGAGATTTCTTTTGACATGCATAAACTTTTTAATAAGAGGTGGTCCCAGTTATTGATTCTGGGAAGTATTTCCTGTGCGGTTTGAGTTCTGTTCATGAATTCTCTACCTACCACTATGTCTTCAAGGTTTTTACCCAATTTGTCTTCCATTAGATTTAGTGTTTCTGTTTTAATGTTC